AGCCCCAGTATCCACCCCAAAAGCAGGACATAGGGGCCAAAAAAGTTTAGTGTATTTTGAAGATCACTGTTAATGCCTTGTCTGCTTTTGAAAAAGATTTGCAGAAGACTCGAGTTGGTCAGAAACGTATAAAATGGAAGCGAAATAACCCTTTTCCAAACTCAAATCCACTGTATACTCATAGGCAAATTGGATTGCCAACAAGAGGAAAGTAGACAAAAACCAAGTTATTCAGTTTCTTCTGTTATCCAGGAATTTTTCCTCTATTTGGATGATTAGTATCATTAAAATATATGTAAATCAGGGCCCAAGGGGCTAATTTAAGATCAAATCTAACAAGGATAATAAAGCAATAAGGGGGAAAAATGAAATATCTTGGACTAGAACAACTTTGACCAACTAGTTGTACTAGACCATCTTTGCTGGTAAGGAGTTTTTCCCGAAGTCTAAGAACCCTTTCTAAGTCAATATTATGTTAAGTTAGTGCCCTTAACTTAACACCTGTAGCATGGACACCAAAGTCAAAAAGCTCATACAGGATTATTAGAAATGACAGGTGGCCAAGGCATATGAAGGGCAAGACAGAGGTATTGGTAAATATTTTCTGTTTTTAGCTGGATCCTAATGACTTGGATGTGTTCAAATTGAACATAAAAATCACTGCTTATGTCCTTATGATTTGTATACTTTTATACATGAATGTTAATTGGCAATAAAAGTTTTTTACAGGTAAAAAATACAACGTATTTGCAACTAAATACTGAAGGTGAATTGGTTAAATAAATGCTGGAAGAATCATACAATGGAGTATTCTGATACTAGCATCAAAGGATTATATTTTTCTATTATGGAAAGATGCCTAACACATATTGTTGTCTTGTAGCTAGGTAAACAATGTAAGTTTTAGAATATTGCATAGTATAATTATACTTTTGTAAGACTACTATAGTTCCTACTACATATACATGCACAATTGTGGATGTAAAAACAAAATAAGAGGCTGAGGCTATGCACTAAGCTTTAATTAACGTATGTTTTTGTTAGAAGCTAGTATTATGGATATGTCAATATTCTGTTTTGTGTGTTTCTGTACTTAAATTTTGATACAAAGAACATGTACTGTTTTATAATCAGAAAATAATAAAGGTATTTTCATTAAGAAATAGAAATAAAATTTAATTATGGCATACACAGTGAAATGTTCCTGGTTTTTAAGCCCAGAACTCTTTCCTCTCCTTCTCTGTGATCCTCCTCCTCCTCCTCTTCCTCCTCCACTTGCTTCTCCTTCTATACTGTCAATACTTAACACAAACCTTTGAAATGGCTCCTTTGCACCATTTCTTTCAAAGTTTAAGACTCTCAGTCTAAGGCCAGAAAGTATTTCCAATAGAACTTATTGTGCTTTGAGTTAAAGCTACATTTTATAGGGGGTTTGTACATTCGATGTAAAAGACAAGAAGAGTATATCTGGGTGCTACAATCCTGATCTCTGGGAAACTGAAAGTGAGTAAGAACCAAAACCAGTTTAATGGGTAGCAGTTGATAAATTACCAGACATTACCGACTACTGTAGCAAATTAATCAGGAAAGCTGCTAATTTGGCTTCCCTTGGGAGCTCCCAGCATGTCAGGAGTTAATGTTTTAACTATGGGTAAGTAAGTCGTCTTCCTATGTTTCTGAATTTGGAGCCAGTTCTTTCAGCCACTCCTCTTTTTGTTCCCCATCAGAGGTTGGATACAGGTCTGTTACCTTCGTAAGTGACTCATTTAACAACTGTTATAGGCTTGCGTTTTCCAGATCCTTTCACTATTGTCTATAATAATACTAGCATCAACAACCAAACCCATAAGAAAAATAGTAAACCTGGATTGACTACTTTTCCATCTAAATATAAACTAATAGGTGGGAATTTAAGAGTTAGGAACTCAGGAAATATTAATGGCATATACCGTTCCTGATATGAACTGACAGCTTTGAAACACTGGCACTGTTTTGGCTGAATTGTGCCATTTCGTGCTCAGAGATCGGTGTTAAAGTGTATATGGTTACTTGAATGCTCAGAATTTCTCTATCTCCCTTTAATTTCCAAACTTAGCAAAGGATAAATAATGGCCATATCTTGATTCTGAGTGTTAACATAGTGTGGCCATATACCTAAGAAACTCCTGAATGAGGCAGTCTGTGTCAGGAGACTGAGCCTTTGAGAATACTATATTCTGCAGACACATCTCAAAAATCAGAATCAGAGGTGAAGGATCACAGAATTTGGCTCAGTCTCCTATATCCTACACCTGAAATAGCTAGTGGATGCACAGATAAATTTTCTGAAACCAAATTAAAGGCTAAGCCACAAATGCATACCAAGGACTTCTTCATTTAAACCTCTGCCTTGAATCAATCTTCTAGGTACATACATTGGCTAAAAGGAATCCTGCAAACTCATGCACTTACGGTTTGAGCTACTTCTTTGTTGGATTGCCCATTCCATTAAAGGCTTTATTATTTTTTTCTTTTAGGTGTCATTATGAACAGTAATAATAGTGTATGAAAAGCAGGCCTGTGCTAACTTATATTTATATAGTAATATAATAATATAGTATATTCCACGTTTGTCTCTTCTCCCTAATAATGAATTAAACATAAAATCATTATATAAAAAGAGTATTAAAATACAAGTGTGGGAGAAAAGTAATCCCAGAGAGAAGAGTTATCATTAAATGAGCTCAGACTTGACTTAGAACACAGGCTGAATCAGAGAATTTTGCCTGTGATGGGTTAATTTTTCATTGTTATAATGAATGTATAATTCCAGGTTTACTTAATGACGAGTATGCTTAATCATTCTTACCAATCATCTCTGCCATCCCTCATCTACCCTCATTAAAAAAGAAAAAAAAAGAGAGAGAGAAAAAGAAATTCAAGAAACCTGCAAATAAATCTCTGGTGGATTTACTGCCACACGCGTTCACACATCATTTGTCTCTCAACTCCTGATATGCGTGTTCATATCATAAACATCTAGTAAAATCTGGTGAACTGAACTAACCAGAAGCAAGGTGAAGAGAATGGACCTCACCTTACATCAGGTTCTTTAATGACAACCATGAATGTGTATTGAGCTTCTTAAAGCACTTGTCTGATTTAGAGGAATAATAAGTAAGATATCCATACTTAAAACACACAAACACAATAATCCACCCACTTTCTGGAACTCAGGATTTCCGGATCATTTCTTTGGTTGGCAGATGAGTTGCTATCTCCACCATGTACACCTTTTGAAGGTGACTAGGGCATGACCTGAGGGCGTGCTGTCAATGCTGCCTGTGACAAAGCAGCTTCATTCACATGCACTTTACAAAAAGTCACTTGACTACAGATCAACAACAATTGCTGATTATAAAGGGTGCTGTCCTGCCCTGCGTATTGTGGGGATACAGGATATGATGATTCTCTGTTTAGCCAAATGAAGCATATTTAATCGCAAAAAGGTATTTAAGAACCACTATGAGCCAGATCATAAATAATGCAAAACGCCCGGACTAGCTGCATAATTAAGCAACTTAAAATATTATCTTTTAATTTTTTTTTTTTTTAAGGAGGATGCATTGAGCAGTAAAACTGCATTAAGAGGCAAATCTTTTACGAAAAGCCAATCTCTTATCATGCTTCTTTCCCTCTGGACAGGCTGTTGTCTGAACAATGAATCTGGGAAATCTGAAGTGAAGCGCAGCCTAGGAGAAACATCTTGGGGAGTGGTCCTCTGGTCAGTCGCGGGACAGTAACCATTGCCCATTTCCCCATACTCTTCACCTGTAGTGTGGCCATAAAAAAAAAAAAATGCGAAGGCTTTGAGACGTCTTCTAGGCATCGGATCTCATGACCCAGCACAAAGAACCAACGGAGTACTTACTTTAGCAGAAAATTTTCTGAAGGAAAATTAACCGGCAGAGGAAATGAAGGACATTAAGAAACAGACCCCGTATCTGGAATCTGACACCAAACCCGAGCTCTCGGGGCATCTGGCTGTGCAAAACGCACACGCACAGTTCTCAAACCTGGTACTCAACAAGATGTTTCTGTGAATGAATGGGTCTTTGTGCTCCTTGGCGGAGAGCACATAATATACCCTGTCTTAATAAGAATTTAACAATTGCCCATAATCCACGCACCTCGGCGGATTCAGCGTCTCATCAGACCCGGAAAAGGGGATAGATAGCTGATGCAGTTACTTCTGGGTTTTCACGGGAACTCGGGGAAACCACAGCTGGGGAACGAAAGCTGGGAAAAACTTCTCTGAATCTGGAGCCACTTGGAAGACTGGTGAAAATCCTTGCACTAACCCGTAAGGCGCAGTCAGCGGCCAGTGGTGAGTGTGGCGATTCTCAGGGAAGGGACAGAAGACCCTAAACATTCAGATAAGCGTAAAACAAACACAAAAATAATGACCACACACATCACAAAGGCCAAACCAAATGCAGCTAGAAATACACTGCGCAAAGTGTAAAACTACACTTGCTCACAGAAATCAACCTTTTGTAGCGGCAGACTCAGAGCAGACCTTCCTGATCCCTGCGTCTGAGAAGGAGGTGGGTCATCCCGGGGCCAAGGACACTGCGTGCCGGCCCCCCTCGAGGCTCTGGCTGTAACCGGAGGAGTCTCCCAGAGACCCGTAGAGTTGAGCTGCAGAGGCTGCTCCGGAACCCTAAGAACGCAGTCAGCTACAGAAAGGATAGATTCGGGAGGTGTTTCCCAGAAAGGTGCAAAATCTCAAGGAGCCTGGAGAGAGTCTGGGAGGAGTCTCCGGAGGCCAATGGACTCAAGGCCGCCCTAAGGTGAGGAGTCGGGAGCCCCTCGTGCTCTGGCACCCAGTGCGTCTCGGGTTCCCCACTCTGCCTGAGCTCACTGGCCGGGTCGGGAGGCTCTCACTGACCTGCTGGTCGCGACGCGAGCCCACCTGCACCGGGCTTTGTTGCTTCGGGTGGGGCGGCGCCCCTGTCTCAGAGATTCGCGCCCGCAAAGCCGTCCCCGGGAATGCTGAGCGCAGGGACACAGAGCGCGGCCGGAGCGCACGGGCAGCGGGCACAGCGCGAGTGGGCCCGGGGCTGCTAGCTCTGCACGGCCCTCACCGTGTCCCTCCGCCCCTCCCGGCCCCTAGACCAATGGCTGTGAGCGAGGCCCACTCCCGCCGCCCCCCAGCCGCTGCTCTGGCGGGCGCTTGGCGCTAGGACAGCACCCCGCTCTGGCGAGGGAGGAGCTCGCGCCACGGCTGGAAAATCCCGGAGGGCGAGGAGGCGTTGTTTGCGCAGGGAACCCCATCTGGGGAGGACAGGTGTGCAGCGCTGAACTTTTGTGGGTGTTTATGGGGTGGGGGTGCAGCTTCTTGGGGACTCAGGGGCCTCTCTGCAGGCGAAAACATTCACTTCTTGCCAAGTTTCTTCTCTTGCATCTTTTATGAGTCCTGCGCAGCCCCCACCCTCAAACAACGACAGTGCATCATCACAAGCCCAGCTCTGACTGTGCAGCGTGGGGGCATCACCTTATCCTATGATGAGCTTCATCTGAGTCCTCCCTCATTCAGCGCCCCTTTCCGCTACCCTCTGATTCCTCGACCAAATCGTCAAATGAATGAATAGGATTGCAGTTTCTATGGTTGCCAGTGATAAAAGTCCCTATGAGTAACTGGCATAGAGAATCTCATATCATAAAGGAACCTTTGGAAAAGAAGCCCTTAACTACTGTGCCTCACTTTGGTGACCATCACCTCTTTCACCCCACACTCTATGTCTCTCTATTACTGTTTTTTTTTTTATCTTAAATGTTAGTCTTGGCTCATTTGATGTCTGAGGTCTCTTTCTCTCTGAAATTCCATAATCCTGTTGGCTCTGTGGCCTAAGTGGCCTGAGCCCCTGGGAAATATTAGTGTGGTTTTCTTTTCCTTGATCCTCTAGTTTACCTTCCTTGCTGTCTTCACCCTAAGACCTATCTACCTGTGGCAGGAAAGCAAATCAATATAAAACCATGCTGCCCAAATCTCAGTGACCATTTACACTTGCACACAGATTGTCATTCACCACTATCCACTCCTGTTACTTGGGCCCATCAATTGTTTTCCTGGTAGAGACAGGCAAGGACATCTGGCTTAACTTTGAGGCACCCTGTTAAATAAAGGATGTGTCTCTTCATTCCTTCTTTAGCGCAGTTGAGCGTGTGTGTGTGTGTGTGTGTGTGTGTGTGTGTGTGTGTGTATGCATCATTTCTATGTGTAGCTTTCTGTGCCTGATCTAAAATGCAGGAGGGTGGAATGAGCTATATCATCAAGAGGTCTAGATTCAGAGAACTGCTTCTCTCCCAATACCCTTGCATTTGCATCCTAAGCCCCACCTTTGCTGTTCCCATGAGGTTTGTTACATCCAACTACCTCCTTCTCTGTTACATACTTAATAAAATTTACCTTAAATTTTTACTTATCCTCTTTGTAAGCAATACCCATGAAATCATTGGTTTTTTAGATACCAGTTATATTTCAACCTACAATAAAATCTTAAGTCCTCTATGCAACCCCAAATCATGTAGAGTACTGGTTGTTGTCATACCTCGCCTGAGAAACCCTGGGAAATATGAAAGGACAGTTAGACCTGTTGACCTTGAATACAGTGGTCCTCAAACTTCTTCTTTTTTAAATGAATTGGAACTTTTTAAAATAACTTCAATTTATTTATTTATTCTTTCATGTGATGCTGAGGATCAAACCCAGTGCCTCACACATGCAAGGCAATGCTCTGCCACTGAGCCACAACTCAGCCCCTCAAACTTCTTTTTGCTTAAGATTCCTAGCCTCAACCAGGCACAGTGGCACATGCCTATAATCCCAGTGGCTCAGGTGGCTGAGGCAGGAGGATAGAGAGTTCAAAGCCAGCCTCAGGAACTTAGTGAGGCCCTAAGCAACTCAATGAAACCCTGTCTCTAAAAAAATACAAAAAGGGTTGGGTATGTGTCTTGCTGTTTAAGTGCCCCTGAGTTCAATCCCTCCCTGGAACCCCCCCCCCCCAAAATTCCTAGCCTCAGTCCCTAGATCTGGTTCATTCACACTCTATGTAATGCTAATGTATTTTTTCTATAGAGAAACCCTGCAGATGTCTTGCAAGTTTCAGAGAGGGATAGAGAACTATTCATTGCCTGGCAAGACTTTTCATTCAGATTGATATAAAGCAGTTTCATTTTCCTTGTCTTACCTTTGGAGACAAGGTAAGTGAGTTTTCTTTTCCTTGTCTTTGATATCTGTTCTGCAAGAATTTTCTTGACATTTTCCTGAACTCTGTTAGTGTATTAGTTTCCTAGGGCTTCTGTAACAAATGACCATTTAAGCCATTACTAGGTGACTTAGAGCAGAAATCAAAACATCACTTTGTTCCTTTTGGAGGCTCTGAGAGATTCCATTATATACCTTTCCATAGATTTTAGCAGTCATTGATGCCCTTTGGCTGTAGATAGATGCATTGCCCAGGTCCTTTCTCTGTCTTCAAATCATCTCGTGATGTGTTTCTTCTTCCCTTTTCTTTTAAGGACACTTTCATTAGAGTTAAGGTGCACCCTAATCCAACAGGGTCTCATTTTGAGATTCTTAATTATATCTTCAAAGACCTCTTTCCCCACCAGTTCCACATTAATAGGTTCTACGTACACATACATTTTGGACCATTCAACCTGATGTAGTGTTAGCATTTATGCAATCCTTCTGCTCTTGAGTCAGGGTATTCTACTTCCCCAGCATGACCACTGGTAAACTTTAGTGATGCTAGGCTTTTGGGTAGTGTCAAAGTCAGCGGTGTCATTCTGCAACTATTAAAAAAAATTAGAAAATTGATCACTCAGATGTGGTATAGGGAAAGCATGTAAATGTGTTTTGAGATCTTGGTAAATTCAGAGATTAAATCAAACTCCTCTTATTATTAAGAGTGGAATAATAATGTCATCTTCTATTTGAGACTATATGAAATTTCTTTATTGCTTCCAAGAACAATGAGGAATTGAGGTCAGTTAGGCTGATATCAGAAACAAAGTTCCTGTTACCTTTAAAAATTTCATATCCAAACATCTAAATATTTTTAAATATCAGATTTTCTTTTATAGAATGTATAAAGGTAGCTCAGACACCATTCAAAGGCTGGGGAATTTGAAGTCAGAGTTTCTAGTGAGCAGGATTATTCCTCCCTACCCACCTTCAGTCTTACTCAGGGAGAAATAGGTTGTTGAAAAAAGTGTGGAATTTGGATTCATATAGAGAATCAATAAATTCTGATGCTTAATATATGTGTGCCTGAAACTCATCATATAATATTTTTGAGTCTCATTCTCCTCATTTACAAAGTGTAAATGATTTTGTCCACCATATATATTAGTGATTGCCAGAAATGTTAAACACACACACACACACACACACACACACACACACACACACACCATCCAGTTTCTAGAAAATGTTTGCATGTAGTATATACTTTAAAATATTAGTGTCACTTCGCTGCTCTCAAAGCAGTATTCAGAATCCTTTTTGCATTTATTAATTTTCTTCTAGATTATCAGGAAACTTCTGTTGCTAATACTCCTTGGATTAACTCTTCTCTCATTTTCTTTATTCCTTCATCTCTGCCCTCCTTTTGATGTTCCCTTTTCAATATCTACCTTCTCGCTTCTTCTTCAACCTCTTTTCTATCAAGCAATTCCCTCATTCTATCAGCCACAATTTCAAAGATCTGTGCTCTGTAGAGGAACTGCAAGAGAATTACTCTGGAAGAGTATAAATCAAAACATTTTTGCTTTTTTAGCTCTTTCTTGATGTGTTAATAAGAATAATTATGATCCTTCAAAAAGCTCAGAGAAATTTATGTTATCCAATGGTACAGAAAGATTTCTCGGCCACAAATCTTATTTAATAGGTATCTGCTATCTGCTGGGCAGTGTCTTAGGCACTGGGGATATAAAAACAAATAAGCCAAAGTCTCTGCCCTAAAATATGTACAGTCCAATAAAGAAAACTGACATATAGATAAATTCATATTTTGAAAAATTAAGCCTTGAAATCAATATGTACATGAAAGAATTTCACATACTTTGTTGGTTACACTGGCCAGTCAAGATCATCACCCTTCCCATGGTCCTTCTAAGTGAGCAGCCACATCCTGACTTCCTAAGCAGGGAGTATTGGCTCAGATGGATTTGTAATGGGAGGGCAGCCGATCATGAGTTAGTGCAATCATTTCCTGCATTTTCTTCTTGATTTTCTATCAACTAGCCCTCTTACCATATTCCCTACCGTTTGAGACTCAAAGGCAGGCAGAGTCCATTTCCTGCTGATGAAACTCCAAAGGCCATATACTCTTTACCTCTCACCTTAGCTTGTGATACAGACTTGGCAATCAAGTCTGGCCCTGTGGTTGGGAGGTGATTGGTGATACAGGGAAGCTCAGATGGGGAGAGGTCTTTGTGGTGGTAATTTGCAGCAATGTTCAATTTCCAGGACTCAGGGGGACAAGCAGTGATACTGGTTTCCAGTGTTCAGGTGTAAGTTACAAGTCACAACTCCTACAGTTGGTTGATGGCAAAGAGTTCTCCCTCAGCCGATTTAGTGGTGTGATTTGGCTTCTCTGCCTCCATTTGTTTACATTCATTTTCTGAGTATCTCTCTAATCATTTCAATAAATTTATTTTTTGCTTAATCCAGCCAAATTGATTTCTGCTGCTGGCAATGAAGAATATTTTAGCTGAAGCCTGGAAATGTTTCTTCTCCAACAAGAAGATGGCTAATTAACAGATAAGTAACTTCTCTTTTAGGGGCATTTGCTAAGCTAAAGACAGAGACCATGGGAGCTGTGCAAAGGCTGAAATTATGAGTAAGCAGAAGTCAGAGTCCATGTAGAGCAGAGAGAGGGCATGGTGATTGGCCAATAGCATCAGGCACATAGAAACCAAGAGGAACATCATGGCAGGAGAGGTTATGAATTCATGCTCTTCAGGAACACAAAGCCAATGCACTCACTAGCTCTGCCTTGAAGACTAAACTATTTTCATATATACAAACTATATTTTCATTTCTATGAAGTTAAATGACCTTAGCTATTCATAGGTTCCTTGGAAATTCCAGTG